CCTGGAATGACACCCATTCTCTTCTGCTTGGTCCCAAAGACCCCTGCCCTGACTAGAGGGACTCCTTTCCATTCCCTGCCTGGGCATTGAGTTTGAAGCCCTGGTCTCTCCTGGGCTGTCAGCCTTAACCATCTCTCTCCCCGCACGGACACCCCTAGATCAAAAACTGGCCAAAGATGTCAGAACACTGCTGCTGTGTAACTTGGGGCCCTCAGTAGCCTCATCTGCAAAATGGGCATAAAACCAATATACTGTCCAGGATAACTCATAGGATTATAGTGAGCAAAATTTAGCATTTTAAACAACAGGAAAGTTAAAATTAATATGTGGTTGTTAATACAAATCTCAGTAAGAAAGCAAGCCATGATCAACGTGAGACTTGGGAGATGCACCTGCAGAGCAGTCCCCAGGACCGCGGACAGGCCTAACAAGGGGCTCTGCCTAACACGGCTGCGGGCACACGTAGGCCCGCGCACGGGGACACACAGCTGCCTCTCTGCAGACTGTGAGGGTCGCCCTGGATGTGGGGGCCCGTATCCCGATGCAGACCTCGCTGCGTTCATTCACGGTGCCCCCTCACTCCGTAAGATATGGATCTGAGGGCAGAGTGGGACTACCAATTTTGCTCCAGTCAATGGCGAACTGCTGAATTTCATTATTTCACCTCTGTCTTGAAGGGAGCCGTGGTATCGGCCTGGGCTGCTCCCTGTGGGCTGAGGACACCTGTGACGGGCATGGCTGAGCTCCTGAACGGTCCGTCACCCTCCCCGGGGTGCCCCCAGCCATACACAGTGGGGAGCAAGGAACAGCCCCGGCTGGCTGCCCGTGCTGCTCGGTCGTGCTGAGAGCAGTCCCAGACGCAGTCACCATGGTGCAGCCAGCCTCCCTGTAACCTTGGGTCGGTTTCACAGTTTGTGCCAATGGTTTGTAAAGCGATGTGACACGTCCCTTCCAAATGCGCAACAAGAAACAATTCATCCGTGAGCTGCCTGCGCACATTTCCCGTGAGGCATGAAAGATTCCAGGAGCTAAGGGATGCCGAGGTCAACCACAGGCTAATAATACGAGCCCGTCACCGGCGTCTGAAGAATGTTATGGAGAACCGTCCGCAGCCCCCATATCTGTTGTTATGACCGGAATTACGCCCGTCTCACTTCACAGTTGACCACGTGCTGCTGGACGGGGTCCAGCCCAGCTAGCCCCTGGTGTGCAGAGGCCGGGGAAGCCGAGCCAACAGCACTGGAGAGGGATGAGCTGCGAGTCACACCCTCCTCGACTGATGACATGTAGATGGAAACTCACACCCCACCAGCAGGGATGCGGCCCAAAGAAAACCCCAGAACCCGTCACACCCTTCCTCTCTGTGTCCCATCCTTCCCCCCACCCCTCACACCCAGTCCCATTATCAGAGCGGAGCCAGTATGGGATGGAATGAGGAGACTGGGTTTAATGCAGAGGGAGGATCACGCTCACTGGATAAGAGCATCCATCCAGACCTCTCCCGTTACGAGAAAATTTGCGAGAGGAAACAAGGAGTTTGTTTTAAGGCTAAAGGATTGGGATCCCAGGGATAAAGGAAATTCGAACGAACACATCTTTCCAGTGGCCCCTGTCCTTTCTACGTCCCTGCCCTGCCAGCTCCCACACTATGGAGTTCCAAAAATGGTCTCTTGGTCATTGGAAGAAAACCATTTCTGTTGGTTCTATCAAGGGCAGCTATGAGATCTCTGAACAGGAAGCTCTTCATTCCATCCTGCTAAGATAATTGATCCAAAACAGACATCAGAAAATTCAAACTGCTCCTTTGGTTTCTACTATCATGTCCAAACAAAAAGCCATTGGCTCTCTCCAGCCCAGCGTACCACCTCGTACCTCCCAGCCACTCTCCAACACCCACCAGATGATTCCCTGCGAGCTACAGTCAGAAATGATGGTGCCATGTAAGCACAGAAAGTTTCCACCAGTGATCTGCTGAGAGGTGCCGAGTGCTATTAGGAAGTTCCTTTTCAAACTGAATAGTTTATCCAGGGAAAGAGGCATATCCTTCCCTTTGAACATGTGCACTACCAAGTTGAGTAAATCAGAAACACCTTCTCCCGAGACAGCACCCTGAGCTTAGAGCTGGTCTCTAGGAAGAATCTTTACAGGTGATGATGATAATAATCGTGATGCTGAGTGGTCTGTTTCTCCACATATTTGTAACAACACCGGTCTCTACAACCTCTCTTCATAAGGCTTCCAGATCTGCCAATTTCATTATTTGTCAGGATCTCTCCACCCGGCCTAAGAAGAAACCACTCTCGCACACAACAAAGGTGTGTCTTCCTTCGGAAACGGGAAGCCCACATAATAATAGTGATTTTTCCAGCTCATATTCCTGGTCAGGAACATCATGAAGCCCCGTCTCCCTAGGGTAGAAGAAAAGCAGCGGAGCTGTCAAAGCCTGCATCTACACACCCCAAACTTCCCCAAAGCAGGGAGGCACCTGCCTGCATCCCTGAGTAAATAAAGGAGATGCCAAAGGCCACCTGTTGCGGGGTCACTCAGACTGTGAGATGTCCCGGGGTGGTGACTTTCCCGGCAACACAAGACTCCACTCCGTGCTGTTAGTGCCCTGTTCACCCTAACATCTCCAGCTGAGAACGTCCACAGGGTAACAGACTGGAGGTGAGAGGATCCAAGTTCAAGGGCCCTGCCCCCTCAGCCTACCACACCGCGGAGATCCCTGTTTTAAACTAAGAGAAAAACTTCCTTGGATCTCCCGAAAGAAACTACCTTTTGTGAGTTCAGACCCAAAGGCAGCTGTGGATGCATAGGAGAAGGCCTCTTCATAGCTGCTTCGCCAGGAAACCCTCCTGAGTTTTTGTCTCCTCATCTGTAAAATGCGGACGAGGAGACCGGCCCGCCTGCTGCCCGGGCTGCTCCGAACGCCACGAGCTGGCCTGTGAGAAAGCCTGGCTTCTCCGTAGAGCCCAGGGCCCACCTGCGGGGGTACTGCCCAGGAATTCAGTTCAAAACCCCGAGGCTTTGTGAAACACTACAGTGGATTCTAAGTTAAGCATGCCCTAGCTTTTCCTCCAGCAAAGAGCCGTCACCTGGAGCAAGAGACGAGAGGCGTGTACCAGATCTCTGTGTGAAAAGCAGAAGGAAAAAGAAGTAGGACACATCTGGATGGCAGGACGAAAGAGGGATCGTTTTAAGCCTCAAATGTAAATACACGTATCTGTAAACATAATAATAAAGTCACATGTGTGTTTCATCTTAGGTATTCCATGTCGTACGTATATAAAAATACAACGCACGTTACACGGGCATGTGTATAATCCCGTATGACAAAGTCTGCGAGGCACAGTCTATGTACCTCTGTACGTGTGGGTACCTGGGTACCTGGGTGTGAGGGTGCGTGGGTGCACATACAGCTGTTGAACGACTTCCACGGGCCAGCCCAGGATGCAGGAGTGGTAAGGAGCCTCAGAGGCAGAGGCAATAGTATAAGGACACGTCATAAGGCACCGCAGGAGAGCACAAGTCGTATCCAACGGTAAGTTTCCTCGGCTGAAATCTGGCAACAATCCAGATCTCTTCTCCTTCCCCCGGGCATGAGCCATGGGATTAGATCGAGGTCAGGGCTGGGAGGGGTGTGGGAGGAAGTCCTAATCACCATCCTAAGCCCAGCCTCCATCTGTGGCTTGCTTTTCGTGGCTGGATAGGATGTGCTACGTGGCTAAGAGAGGACATATTCACTCAGTGGTCTAAGACACATTGGGACAGGCAGTCTGAAGGCCTCAGGAGACTGGAATCCCATGAGAAAAATGACAGGCAGCAAGCAAAGTACTTACTACCATCCCGGGATTTTTATATATATATATATATATATATATATATATATATATATATATATATATATATATA